GGGACAAAGGGATTTAATGCAGAAAAATCCGAAAATGTCATGAATTGCTTGACCTCTTTGTTCCTAAATAGAATGATATTATTGCAAAAGGACATGTTGTTCTGCTGTCATGTATGTAGTTTCCATCCTTTCAAGAATAAATCAAAATGTCATGATCAAATGTCATTAATCTGAAAAAAAAAAATCAGGCACTATAGTTAAGTTTCTCCTAGTTGACAAATGGGGATATTCAAATCAGCATGTCCATCAGTCCTTTCTTCCAACTCTTGTATTCACATTCAAAATATACAATTTCACTTTCAACTTGATCTTAAAATGATGTTTTAAATTCCAATAATCTTTATCTGAATAGTTTATGTAGCAACCATAAAATTTCTGTGTGTCCCGTACTGGGATTCGAACCACAGGCCTTGTGATCCAAAGTGGGACTTGTCCACATGACCAAAGAGGTCAACCCTGTCAGCAAGCTGGCAAGGTAAGGATATCATCTTTGGGATCAGCCCCTGCTACATACTCCCCGTCAACAGAAGGCATGTCACAGGCAGCATGGCAGGGTATGGAGACTTACTTTCATAAAATATTAGAGTGTCCCATGCTGCGATTCAAACCACATACTCTTTGATCCCAAGTTGAACCCCTTCTCCACATGACATCTGTGGTATGAAGAAGGCGCTGAGTGTTTGATCCAAGCCATGTGAATGATGCGTGGAGTGTTTGACCCAAGTCATGTGGAGGATGTGTGGAGTGTTTGACCCAAGTCATGTGAAGGATGCATTGAGTGTTTGACCCTAGTGGAGTGTGAATGATCGTGGAGTGTTTGACCCAAGTCATGTGAAGGATGCATTGTGTGTTTGACCCAAGTCATGTGAAGGATGTGTTGAGTGTTTGACCCAAGCCATGTGAAGGAGATGTTGAGTGTTTGACCCAAGTCATGTGAAGGATGCATTGAGTGTTTGACCCAAGTTATGTGAAGGATGTGTTGAGTGTTTGACCCTAGTCGTGTGAAGGATGCGTGGAGTTTTTGACCCAAGTCATGTGAAGGATGCATTGAGTGTTTGACCCAAGTCATGTGAAGGATGTGTTGAGTGTTTGATCCAAGCGATGTGAAGGAGACGTTGAGTGTTTGACCCAAGTCATGTGAAGGATGCATTGAGTGTTTGACCCAAGTTATGTGAAGGATGTGTTGAGTGTTTGATCCAAGCCATGTAAAGGAGATGTTGAGTTTGACCCAAGTTATGTGAAGGATGCATTGAGTGTTTGACCCAAGTCGTGTGAAGCATGAGTGGAGTGTTTGACCCAAGTCATTCGAAGGATGTATTAAGTGTTTGACCCAAGTCATGTGAAGGATGCATTGAGTGCTTGACCGAGTCATGTGAAGGATGTATTGAGTGTTTGATCCAAATCATGTGAAGGATGTATTGAGCGTTTGACCCAAGTTGTGTGAAGGTTGCCTTGAGTATTTGACACAAGTCATGTGAAGGATGTGTTGAACGTTTGACCCAAGTCATGTGGAGTATGCGTTGAATGTTTGGCCCAAGTTATGTGAAGGATGCTCTTGGTGTCTAATCATATTTGGGTTGAATATGCTCTCAATGTTTTGTGTTGTAAGATGTTGGATACTCTCAGTGTTTGATCCTATTTCGGCATGAAGGATGCGCTGAGTGTTTGACCCATGTCATGTGAAGGATGTGTTGAGTGTTTGATCCAAATCATGTGAAGGATGTGTTAAGCGTTTGACACAAGTTATGTGAAGGATGCGATGAGTGTTTGACCCAAGTCATGTGAAGGATGTATTGAGTGTCTGGCGCAAGTTATGTGGAAGATGCACAGAGTGTTTGACCCATGTCATGTGAAGGATGCACTGAGTGTTTGACCCAAGTCATCTGAAGGATGTGTGGAGTGTTTGACCCAAGTCATGTGAAGGATACACAGAGTGTTTGACCCAAGTTATATGAAGGATGTGTTGAGTGTTTGACCCAAGTCATGTGAAGGATGCGTGGAGTGTCTGACCCAAGTCATGCGAAGGATGACCCAAGTCATATAGAAAATGCTCTTGGTGTCTGATCCTACTTGGGTGGAATATACTCTCAGTGTTTGATCTTTGTCAGGTAATGGATATTCTTGATGTCTGATCCTACTCAGGTAGTTCATAACTCAGTGTTTGGTCCTCTGCAGATTAAGGATGTCTCTCAGTGTTTGATCCTGTTGAGGTGAAAGATGGTTCTCCACAAGGAAGACAGCATCCAGCTGAAGACAGCCCTGGGTACAAGCGAGATACAGCTGCTGATAGGGGACATCACACAGCTGCAACAAGATGAGGCAGTGGACATCATCTTCGTCTCAGCCTTTCAAGGTACAGTCCAACATTCCTATTTGAATGAAGTGTGTTTTATACATTTGTTTCAAATACAAATGCTGTCAGCTATGATTAGAAAAAAACAACACCTTTTATCATCAACTGTTTCATGGACACCTTTTTTTCATCATCAAGTGAAGTATTGAGTAAATGGTGTATAATGTGTTTCTTAAATTGAAATACTAGTTCAACACATTTCTCATGACAATGTTAAGGCATCAGTTTAAATGGCCAGAATTTGTGTGAAGGTGACTATTCTGAAGTCTCATCTTTTACACTCATTGGTGCGTTGAGTCAGAACTTGAACATCAGCGTCCAAGAACTGTCGAAGGACAAGGAGCTTGACCTCAGGACTAACTTCCATTGTTGGGTGTCCAAACCACTGCCCCACAATGTCCCCTACAGGCGACTGGTGTGTTTTGAGAGGTAAGAATATCAGCCTTCTGGATCAGATATGCAAGAATAATTTTTATGGACATATTTTATCAAGTTTTGTCCTGTTTTGTTTAAACATTGTGCGATCTGGGACCATTCCATAATTTATGGCTAGGGGGTGATGCTGATATTTAAGGAGAAACATGTACAATGTTCGGCCCACCTAAAATTTATGTACAAAGTAAATGATCCCCCCTTACCTGCCCAGAACAAGATGGGTGACCCCCCTTAAAATCATTATCACCCACCCCTCAAGCCATAAATTATGAATGGCCCCTACAGAAATATTTTATATATGATTACCTTCTGTTAAGTTTTGATGTAAACCATGAAAGATAGAGACACCAGAGAAATATTCCACCAAAATTTAATTAGCATGAATACATTGAGATTACTACATTAGTGTCTGTCAGATACCATTACTCTCAACAACTTGTAACATAATATTATATTGCATCGGACAGGCATGGGTGCAGTAATCTTTTTCCTCCACAACCTAAAACTGTACCGTATTGACATTGAATTTACACATATTTGAACTATTATCATGACCAGAGAGGTGCATTAATATATACTAGCCACATAAAGAAACTGTGCATTGTCAAAATATTATCCCAGTTGATAAGTACGATAACAATGTCAAAGGTACATATAAACTTCAATGGAGGGATCATGAGACCATAACAAGTCGGGAGAATTTCAATTGAAAAGTCAATCACAATGACGTCACGAGTCCACAAGCGGGACAGGGGTCAAACGACCATGTCACAAGACAGCGTGAACATCGATCCATCTCATCCCAAACATGCTTTTATCGGTAGAGATCCGGTGAATTTGCAGGCCAAGGCAGTAAGTCAACGTTGTGGTGTTGCAAGAAATCCATAGCAACCCTTGCCGTATGAGGGCAGGCATTGTCCTGTTGGAATGTTAACCCAGGGCCATGACGTTGCAGAAAAGGAATTGCCACAGGTCGAAGAATCTGATCCCTGTAGCCCACACCAGTTAAGTTGCCCTGAACAATCACCGAAGGAGTTCTTTGGCGTGCTGTTATTCCACCCCAAATCATCACGGGACCACCACCAAAGCGATTCCTCTCCAAGACACAGGCCTGTGCATAACGTTCTCCCACGCATCTATAGGCACGTTGACGTTCATCACTATGGGAAATGTTAAACCTGGACTCATCTGTGAAAACAACATTTCTCCACCAAAACAAGGGTCTGCGGACATGATTTTGGCGAGCTTGTCGATGACGTTGTGTCAGGATAGGCCATATGTCGGGACGTCGTGGTCTGATCCTGTGATGACGTAAACGTTGTCGAACTGTGTTTGGGTGGATCTGGCCGAAATCCTGGGATGGTTCGAGGGCAGTCGTCACTGCAGTCTGAAACCTGTGGCGAAGATGGGTCACCCTTATCCATCTGTCCTGTCTTGGCGTTGTTGCCGTGGACGTCCAGAACGTGGCCGATCGATGACGTCATTTGTGTTCTGGTAGTGTCTCACCAGTGCAGAAATGGTGTTCTGGTGGCAGTGGAAATGTGCAGCCACTGTCATTGAGACATTCCCCCACGGACCATCCCAATGGCCTCATGATGTTGTGCAGACGTGAGCCTTGGCATGCTATGCGTTTCAATAGACGTTTAATTTTTTGAACAATCGCAAGGGCAGGGGTTGAGCTTTCCAAAGTGACAGTATTGTGTGGCATTCATTTGCTCTCTTTCTCTTTCTCGGAATGCACGTGCAAAAACGTATTGCACGTCTCAAGGACGAACCCACTGACGTCACGGAGCGTGGCACGTGCATGCATGTTGGATACATGTCACTAATCTCTGAGTTTAAATCCTTCTGTGTCTACACAGGTTTGATAAATTTAGATTTGAAATTTTTGTATGCCCAGTTTCTTTATGTGCCTAGTATATATAACAAGTTGTTTTTACACCATCTGACCTCTGCTTATTACTGATTGTGACTCTCATCCCAAATGTTCTCGTCGTATCTGTTGATTTTCAAGGCAGTTATGATAAGACCTAATTAAGGATATTTTTACCTCTCAAAAAACATATATTGTAACTTGGACATAGGTGAATTTTACTAAGGTATCTTTAGCTTATTGTTAAGTTCCAGTCAGGAAAGTAGTCTTTCATAATCGTTACCATTGAGAGCCAGTCACAACCTTAAATTTGATCTCACATGTATGTCTGATATTAGTTATGAGAAGCATAAATCTCACCTTCAAATCTGCAGATCTCGTAGGGCAAAAGCTGGAACAGTGGCCCAGCAGATCAGCACCATGTTCCGTGCCATGACGCCCATCTTTAACAATGAGGACACAACTGTCATAACCCCTCTCCTAGCCACAGGAAACCAGGTCAGAATTCATGTGTGATTATGTGTGATTATGTTTTGTACAAATATTTAATTTTTTAAGTAAAATTGATATTTTATACTTATCCTGACTCATGATCTTTTGCTTATCTCCCTTTCTTATGTGAATGGTAGCGGAACACTTGAATCCTTTGAAGTTCCCAAAGCGGACGTAAAAGTACACTCACCCACAAGTTACCTCCCTTTTCCTGTGTAAACAGTCATATGACCAGCCTTACTTGTCACTCTCTCCTGATTTTCTGCCCATGCACCTGGATCTACTGTGAAATCCCGAAGTATTTCCAGCGGGAAGGTTGGGAGGGCTTCTCGTCAAGAGTCAGGATAAGTATAAAATATCAATTTTACTTAACATTGACTCAAATCCTGACTCATAATCTTTTGCTTATAGAATCCTGCAGATTGGTGGTGGGTCAAGCCACTTCCTGGATTCATCAGCTGTCCTTGGATACGTCCTGTATCCCCCCCAATGGGAACTGCGTAACGGCATTTCCAAGATCCTATTCTTCCAACTTCCATTATAACTCGGGGGACCACTTTCTTGTCTTACTTCAATCTCAGACAAGTTGAATCATGTTGATTCAGGCGGCTTAAGATATACTAGTATCTTCTTTTTACTAGTTATCTATAACAACCCATAGATTATGATAAGATCTTTATCAACAGAGTTGCGACCCCTTTACGTACAGGCAAGATCTTTACCCATACAGAGTCTTAATCACTCATGCTAGTCTGTCCTAGACTGTGCGCATGGACTTCCCAAACTAATACTTTTCCTTAGTAAAAGTTATCAGCAAGTCAACGTGATAAAGGGTAAGACTTCCAACTCAGCGACTTTGTGGAATCGTTAGTTGCTGTGCTACAACGAGAGGCCCTAAACTGGTGAATGCCAGAGACGTCTTCGGTGGCTATGTCTTGGATGTAGTGGTTGGCAAACACCGTATCCGACTTCCAGAAGCAGCCCTCCATAATTGCAGATATAGAGCAATTTCCATGCAGGGCTTGTGTTGACGCCAGTGCTCTGACTTCGTGTGGGTTGGAAGCTCTTGGAGGTTCTAATCCTGCTGCTTTGTAGGCTCTCAATATAACAGCTCTCATCCAGAACGATATTGTCATTCTTGAGACTTCTACTGACGTCTCTGTAGATAATGGGATGAACAGACGCTTGAATTTTCGTCTCCTTGTTTTAGTCTTTTGAAGATATATCTTCAGGGCTCTGACAGGACACAAGGATAAGTCTTGCATATCCTCTGGTCCAATGATCGTAGATAAGCTCGGTATGCGTGGAACTGTCTATCTGGTTGACCAGATAATTCTTGGCAATAAAGTCCCATCTGAGTCCTAGATGTACTGCAGCATGGTGCCCGTGTCGAATCTAGTTAGACCAAAGTCCAACACATGTATCTCAGACATTCAAGCTGCTGTGGCTAATGAAAGCAGGAACAAAGTCTTCTGTGTAAGCAGCTCGAAGGTAGTCTGTTCTAGAGGTTCGTAGGCATCGCTCATGAGATGACATAGAATTACATTCAGATCACAGGCCAGTGCTCTGAATTTCTTTTGCTGGTCCTCCAGTTTAAAAGATCTCAGCAAGGCAAGTAATTCTGGTACTTTAGTCCAACTTGGGTGGAAGCATGGCGTGGTATTAGTCCTTCCCAAGATATGCTCAGTGCATCTGTTGCCCAGGCTTGAGGATCTGGAACTGGTGAGACAAACATCTGTAGTTGTGTGTTGAACCTCGTGGCAAACAGGCCTATGCATGGGGATCCTATTTCCCTTATGATGAGCCGAAATGCTTCTGGATGGAGCATCCATTCCGTAGGTGACGGGAGCAGTGGTCGGGAAAGAGCGTCTGCAAGTACGTTCTTGGCTCTGGGTATGTGACACGCCTTTATCCAGATGTTTGCCGCCTCCGTGATGTCAAACAACTGGAATGTGAGCTGTAGTAGGCTTGGTGATCTTGTAGATCCTTGCCGATTTATGGAAAATGCAACTGTAGAGTTGTCCGTGTGGACCATCAGCTTCCTGTTGATCAGCGAGCTCGACCATAGTTGTACGGCATTGATCATGGCTTTCATTTCCAGCAGATTGATGTGAAGATGCTGTTCTGTTTTGGACCACTTCCCTGATGCAACTTGATTGTTGAGATGTGCACCCCAACCTTGTATCGATGGATCTACGTAGAGATGTGTGTCAAAGGCCGGCTTTTGTAAATAGGTCCCTCATGGCGTTCGACCTGTGGGTCCACCAAAGTAGGTACCTCTTGATATTGTCTGGCAGCAAGATAGGGTCGACGCTGTCCAGATGTTTTTTCAGGAACGTTGCATCGGCCTTAGTTGTAATCTTCCTGTGCGAGTCAAGTCCTGCGCCGAGGTTAGTAGACCGAGTAGACATTGCCATGTTTGTAGTGTTAATGGAGAGATGACTCCTTGAGGAATCATGTCTTGTAGCTTGACCCAACGATGTTCTGGGACGACAATGTGATTCTGTGTTGCGATAAATCTTATCCCCAGAAATTGAAGATCTTGTTTTGGTTCCAACTCTAAATTCATAAAGTTCACCAGCTATCCTAGTTGAGTGAGCAACTTGATTGTGAAGTTCAGCTGTAGTCTGAGTTGACTGGCACTTTGGTGAACCTGAATGCCATCGTCCAGGTAAAAGGCATTTCGTAGAGCCGATGATATAGGTATGCGACTATAGGCTTGGTTACTTGTGTGAATAGCCACGGAGCCGAAGATATGCCAAACGGTAGGACGTTCCATTGGAAGTGCTGCCCTCTGAATAGGAATCATAGATACTTTCTTGATTCTGGATGTATGGGGATGTGTAGAGAAGCATCCTGAAGGTCTATGCTAGCCATGTAATCTGCTGGACGGACAAGTAGTCTGAGTTGAGGTAGGTGGATTGTTCTGAACCTGTCTGGTTTCAGTAGATAGTCTTTGTTGTATTTGCGCATGTTGTAAATCAACCTGAACTTCTCTTTGGGGCCGTAGAAGCCTGGCGTGAGATGATGTTGATCTATTTTCTCTACCGGATCCTTCATAAGAAGTGAGTTGATGGCTTCTTGTAACTTGTCTGTCTGCTCGTCTGTATAATCAAAGACCATCGGACTGAGGGTTAATGGTGGTGTGGCCTTGAGCTGCACTCTGTATCCTTCTCGCAGTACTTGTGTGACGTAGTTGTCCTCTAGTATTCCCCAATTTTTCCAGTACCTTTGTAGACGTCCACCCACCCACGTCGATGGTTTTACATGAACGGCTGGGGGTGGAAGACTCCACTCGTTTCCGAACCCCAATATGAACGTCTAGGTCCTCTGGATCCTCTGGGAGTACTACCCCTCCATGAGTTTCCTCTGTAGTTTCCAGATGGGCGATGAAAGGAACCTTTCCTGCCTCTGAAGCTGGAGTACTTCTTATCCTTAGCCTTCTGGATGCTGGAATATTTCGACTTGCTGTTGTACTTCTGGGAAATAAGCTGAATGATGTTGGCTAGACTATCTATAGACTTAATCATCATGACTTCTCTTGAATCATGAGTAGCTTCCTTAGCTGCATTGTCTATCTCGCCTCCGAAGATAGTAGAAGCCTCCACAGAGCTCTAAGCAGCGGCTGGGTAGATCTGTCACTGCACGAACAAGATGCCAGTAGACCTTGTCTCCGTAGCAAAGTGAGACCTGCTGATATAGATGCCAGATGGTCCGATAAAAAGTATTTGTCCTTCTTCCGAGTGAGCAGAGCTGATAGTATCATTCTATCTTCTTCCGAACAGGGGTTCTGGAACTTGTTAATCAATGCTTCATTGAGTGCTCTAGTCTGGCTAAGCTGAAGAAGGATCTCCTTGGAGCAGTATCAAGTTGGGATAACTTTTTATCTTCCACTTTGTATATCTTGTTCCGAGAGTCGTTGACTAACTTCATGTAAGCATCTAAATCTGGCGCCTTCATAAAGGGATCCATGTGATGTAATGGGAATTTCTTCACATTAAAGGATGGCAGATGCTGATTCTGGAACATAGTAGCTTTCTCAAAAGCTGTGCATAGGTTAGAAGGTACCTTGGATATAGGTTCAATCGGAGGAATAGTCACCGCGTCAAAGTCGTTGTTGCACATCGTATATGTGTAGAGTTCCTCCACATCCTTAGAAGGAGACTCCAAGTTCAATCCATTGGCTATCAAGCTGTAACCTCTGAGTCGGAGAGAGCGAAGTCTGCTTGTTCATCAGATATATCTCGGTCTGTAGAACTATGCCTCCGCGACTCATCCTTCTGCGAACCTGTATCCCTAAAGTCATCCCTTCTTCTCTCTTGTGAGTCCTCCCTTTGTGAACCTCTGTCTCTAGATACATCTCTTCGCGAACCTCTGTCTCATGAATCCTCTCTTCGCGAACCTCTGTCTCGAAATAACTCTCTTTGCGAACATCTATCTTCAGATCCATCCCGATGAGTTGAGTCCTGCCTCCGCAAACTTGGTTCTCGCGAACGTCTGTGAGAGATGTGTGATCTCGATCTAGAGCGGCTTGGTCTTGGAGATGGATCCTTAGGTGTTCTCGAACGTTGAAGGTTCGCAGATGTAGATCTCGAAGTATAAGTAGACTTCGCATGCCTTCCTTCTTCATCCATGATGACAGAGTCGTCAGCCTGTGGAGACCTCTGCGGACGTATATGTTCGCCAACGTAGTCGTGAGACGTAGATCTATGAGGAGTAGTAGGATCGGACAGGTCCGAGGGTTTGCGCACGTTGTCAGCAGATGAGAGGTCAGTCGAGCCTTCGCCTCTTCCTAGAACCTACGTTCCATCATGGCCATCATCTGGTTAGTAAATTGCCTCATGATTTCATTGGGTTTTACGTCGTGCTTGAGAATATTTCGCTCATATGACGACGTGCATGCGTGTGTATATGTATGTGCGGCTGCTTGTACTAGCCCAGACTTAAGCTGTTTTATGGTGCTAACCCACTGAGATACCATGCGCGGTGAAGCATGAATACCCACATTATACTGCTTCCAAGCC